ACTACTGCTTTGTCTTGTAATAATGACTGGAATATCTAACACCGTCGTTTAGGCCATCATTTTGCATAGAACCTTGATTATCTTAAATCATTTGGTTGTATGTAGTGTTGTCTAAGTAAAAATCATGTTCTACCATTTCCTATCTCCACTTTTCATGCTACTGCACCTTTTCAATTATTACATAGTGATGTTTAGTCATCTCCTGTGATATCCAAAATGGGATTTAGATATTTTATTACTTTCATTGTTGATCATACTTGGTATATGTGGATATATTTTCTCCGCAAAAGTTAGATTCCTTTTTTGTGTTTAAACTTTTTCATGCTAGGTTACCAGGCAGTTCAATGCTACAATTCATACCTTAAATTCGGATTTAGGGGATATTACATGGATGGGGAGTTTCTTATCTATTTGTAACATCATGGAATGCATACCCAAAGATCCTGTGTTGGAACTCAACAAAATGGAGTTGTTGAACGCAAGAATGGCTACATCTTGAATGTTGTGAGAACCCTCCTTTTGGATTCCCATGGTCCCTCAACGTTCTGGGTGGGGGCAGTCAGCATTACTGTACATTTATAAATCTTCTTCCATCCTTTGTTCTCGGGAACCTATCCCCACATCAGTTCCTTTTTAAAACATCTCCTGACCTTTATATGCTATGTGTGTTCGGATGTATTTGCTTTGTACACCTCCCTCATGAGCATACTAAGCTATTGCCTAGTCTGTGTTATGTGCATTTTTGGGATATAGTTCCGATCATAAGGGATTTATCTTCTATGATCCTAAATCCCATCAGACTAGAATTTCTCGAGTGTATTTTTTCTTGAAAATCTCTCTTTCTTCTTTCTTTCAGCATATTATCAAACTTCTTGCTCCTTCAGTGTCCATTTTGCAATACTTTGAGCCTGTAGGTCCTTTAGAAGCACCATCTCTTCTTCAATTATTGTGCAAAATTTATTTCCAGAAGTGGGTTGCTACTCCAGTTCCTATGCTTTCAATCTCTCCATCTCTTCCAAAGCATGGTTCTTCATCCACTCTAGCTCCTATATGTATGCCATCTCTTTCTATTACCACAACTTCTCCATCTACTGATGTAACTACCTTAACACCGTTCTACTAGAGTTGCCAGACCTCCTAATCGCTATGGTTTTCCTTCAGACCATAATTCCTTTTCTACTGTGTTGTTTGTCACAGATATTCCTAGATCCTACTAGCAAGCCATTGCTTACACACACTGGAGAAATGCCATGGACTCTGAGATTGATGCTTTAGTCATTGAAAGTCAGTGGGTGTATAGGGTGGCTGATTAAAGGGCACAATGGTTTATGGAAGTACAATAATGAGAGGAGGATATTCAAGTGGCTGGTGCGAGAGATGGAAGTTAAGACATGTTGGGTTAAAAGATCGGAAAATTCCCTAGCTGATGGTTTAGCTAAATAAGGGGCAGAAAGGGATTCACTGTTTTGGGCTAAGTTGTAACTTTAGTGTTTTTTTTTTCTTTTTCTCATTTTCTTGAGGTTCTATGTTGCTCTTGGAAGATAAGTGTGTTTGTCTTCTTCTTGTAAATCTTCTATTGATGATTTAATGAAAGTGTTATTGATAAAAAAAAAAAGTCAGCGAGTGTATTTAGTTAAATTGAAGTGTGTTGGTAGCCTGCACAGATACAAGGCTAGATTGGTTGCACAGGGGTACAAGCAAGAATATGAAATTGACTATGAAGAGACATTTGCTCCAGTTGCTAAGGTGGCCACAATTTATCTTCTCCTTGCTATTTCAGTTGTGAAAGGTTGGGTTATTCATCAGATGGATGTCAAAACTACATATGAAGCCCCCTTCGGGCTACTATGATGATCCACATCTTGTTTGCTAACTCAAGAAGTCCCTTTGTGGTCTCAAATAGGCTTCCTGTGCCTGGTTTAAGAGATTTAGATCTGTTATTACTGATGTTGGATTCACTCAAAGCTCTTCAGACTACTCTCTTTTCACCTCATAGGACCCTCAAGGTATCACCACACTGTTGCTACTTTATGTTGATGATATTCTCATCACTAGGATGACCAAGATGGTATACATCAACTGAAACTGTTGATATTCTCATTACTGCTGCTACTCTCTTTTCCTTGTACCTTTTCTCATTTTTCAATTCATAGTTACATGTTTCATTATTTTTGGGTTTTGAGGTCTTTTAATATAAATAAATCATCTTTTTATTGAATGAAAAAGGAAAACAAATCTTTTTTCCTAATTTTCTGGCTGGGCTTTGGCTCAACACCTAGGCCCAATTGTCGGACTAGGCTCAAGCTCGGGCCTAAACATGTTTTGTTAATATAGAGACAAAGCCCCTGCACGTGAACAGGTCTATGGGGTCAGAAGATTTTAAATTTTAATGTCATTTTTTAAAAGATGCTGGGGCTTTGTCAAATATAATGTAATGGCAATGAAGGGATTCTGGAAGAAAAATTGATTGAGAAGAATGCAAACTCAACCTTCATTTCCCGTATTCCTAAGGTGGAGGGAGCATGTAAGGTTAAGGAATTCAGACCAATATGTTTGTTCTCAGGTCCTTCGTTGCAAAAGTTTTTTCAAGAAGATTGAGATTGGTAGTTCATGAGATAGTGAGTCCTACCAAAATGATATTTGTGCAAGGAAGACATTCTAGATGGGGTGATGATTGGTAGTGAATGTGTTGATGTAAAAAGTGGTATGGAGGGGTTAATATGCAAGATTGACATTGAAAAGGCATATAATCATGTGGGATGGGGTTTCTTAGAAGTTTTGGAGAGAATGGGTTTTGGGGAAAGATGGAGGAAGTCCACGGAGTAGTTCTCTTGTTTTTAGCCCAAGAGATGATCACCTTGGAATCCCCTTCAACCTCAATATGCCTCATTCCTAGTTGCTTGGCTATCTTCAATCCTTGTAGCAATGCCATTACCTCAGCTTTTAGAGAGTTGCCCATGCCAATAGGTCCAGAGAATAATGCTAATATTCTCCTTTCTGATTACTCCCCCTATACTTGACAATCTCAGATTTCCAAATGAACTTCCATCAAAATTCAGTTTAATTCTGTTACCATCTGGAGGTTTCCATTCCGTCTCTTTCACTCTTGAAGATTGTGCTACTTTTGTCTAGGATCTTATAATGTCTGTGATTGAGAACTCTTGGAAAATATGCAAAGAGCTTACCCAATGGGCTACTTTAACTTTGATTGTGTCAATTACCTCCTCCGTTGTTTTACTCTTTTCTAAGAATATTCTGTTATTCCTTTCTTCCCATATCACCCAACAAATAGCTGCCTTTGTAGATTTGCACATAACCTTCCCTCTTTTGTTTGATTGCCTCAAAAAGTCTCGGTTGAAAAGACCTACCACAAAAGAACAAGATAAAAATAGATGTGTCAAGGTCTCACCACTTTCCTTACAAAGGGAGCACAAGTGAGTAGAAAAGCAAGCATAAGGCCTTCTTTTTTGCAGCATGTCACACGTATTAACCCCTTGCCAAGGAAAATTTCCCAACAGAAGGCTTGAATTTTTTGGGGGATAGGCTTACTCCAAATTTCTTTTATAGGGAAGTCCCCAACCGGGTTGCTAGGTGTGGCAAGAACATTAAAGAAAGAGGAACAAGAGAAGAGGCCATCTGCGGAGTCTTTCCAAATTATGGAATCTTCCAAGGATGGGTCCAAAAGAACTTGTCCTAAAAGATCCAGCAAGTGAATTAAAGATGCACATTCATTTTCCCTAAGGCCCCTTCTGAAACCCAGATTCCAATTTACCCCACTTATTGCAGTCCAGTTTCATTTATCTTTAATATATAAAGTAGATACTTGCCTTGGTTTTGGTGCAGGTCATAAAAGTTAAATTTGATTGTATAATGTTTGCTTATATCTTTACCCTTTACTTGCACACCTGCATAACATGTGCCCTTACACTAGTCATTATAAGTTTAATAGTAATCATTTAATTTGTTTATGTCTGATGTAACAATTCCTTTAAACACATTTAAGAAATGAAACTTTAATTGGACCTTTTTGCTGTTTTACTGTAACAGAAAACCATAGTCTTCAGACCACTAGAAATGAGCATGGAGGTGTTCAGATGCTCTCAAATATTTCACTTTGTGCATTACATGTTGATGAATAATGCTATAAGCATAGTTGTTAAGCTGACAAGGCGCCCTTGGAGGCTTGCCTTGCCTAATCACCAAGAAGTTTTGTGTATTGTGTTCTTAATTTTTTGAGATCATAATTATAAAATAGACATTTTTAAACTAAAATATTCATCTTGTTAGGGTTAATCAACACAAACATTGCTAAATCCTGTATTGAACCCTCAAAGACTTCAGAACCTGAACCAAAAAGTAAGGAAGAACTTAAAATTTTGTCTAATCAACACAAGTTTTGTCTATAAAATAGACATTATCATCATCATCATCATCATCATCTTCTTCTTCCACCTTCTATATTTTTTGAATTTTCTTTTCTTTCTTCTTTTTCTATACTTCAACATGAAATTTATACTTTTCTTATGAAAATTATGGATAATTATTAAGGAAATATGGTTATGTAGCCTAGGGAACTACCTTAGGATATATGCTTTTTACTTATAAAAAAATCCATCGCCTAGGTGACTTGGTGCCCCCTGTCGCGTAGCCTTGCCTTGGCACCTTGAAAACTATGACTATAAGTAGAGTGGCCACAGAAAAGGTTTTTTTTTTTTTTTTTTCCTTTTTTTCACTTTTATTTGACAAGGAGTTCTTTAATTGTATGTGGAATCCATAAATGATTGACTAGCTAATTTCACCATAAAGGTGTTAGCATTTGTAAGGTCATATAATGTGAAGTTAACATTGTAAAAGGTATTTAGGCTGAGGTAGATATGTGTTATTCTGAGTTCCTTTCAAAAATTGAATATGATCACTTTGGAAATATTTTGTGTTTAAATCATATATTTGTTTTTACTGTTATGAAGCCTTTGTACTGAGTAAACCATGTGTATGTTCAGGGGTTTATGTTAAGAAATGCAATTTTTGTCCAAGGCAGGATATTCCTTCATTTATACTTTCTCCTTGCCAATTTAAGATGCCGGTGAAGGATAAGACTATTAAGGAACTTGAGAGTCATGGAAGCCTTTCTACAATGAATGGCTCTCTCACGACTAGCTTGGGTGACAACATAAATGATGTGGATTGGTCAGTTAATGAAGATTTTGTTACTAGTCTTTCTTCTGGATCTTCTAAATATGCAAATGAAGACCTTGTATCACAGACCCCTATCAAAAGTGGAGCACAAAGTCTTCTTCATGCATGGTTCATTGCACAAAAGGAGGGGATTGCCTCGAATTCCGGAGTAGTTGTAAGTTCATTGGTTCTGGGAAATGAAACCTTTCTTCACTTTGAAGTGATGGGTCATGAGTTTGGGAATCCTGGAAAGGAACAAGCATCATCTGGCAGTGTGTTAACGAAGAGAGAAAATACTGGAGAATGTCCAATTGAACTCATATATTTATTGACAGCATTTCAGGAATCTTCTTATAACAGTCAGGCTAGTGTTTATGAGGTTGCCTTCAATGAGGAAAATATGAAAATTGATAACCTTGGAGGCTTAAAATTATTTGATGGAAAGTTGGATTTTGGTGCTCCTATATTTATTGAATATGTTAAGGAGAGAACCATTAACAAAAGCTTCAGTTCCACCATTTCTTCCTTGAGCTGGATGGGGACAATTACGTCTGATGTTATTAACCGTAAGTATTTCTAGCTATGTAAATGGTACAAAGGAGGTTGTTCTACTGCCATTTGTTCTGAATATGTGATGTGTGTTAGGTGGAGTTCATTTAAGAAATATTTTTTTTATAAATCAGGCAAAACTGTTTTTGATTATCAAAAGGATATTTATTTATTTAGAGAGAAAAAACCTTCTGTTAGAAGAAGCTAATATCAACCGACAGTGCAAGTGTAATATAATTTTATAAAAAAAAATATAGCACAGCAGCATATTTTTTCGATAAAGGAAAATTTCTTTTAAATAAAAATGAGTTTTTTGATCAGTTGAAAAGAGTTTTATTAATGCAAATTTGAAGATTACAAGAGGGTGGGTATAAATTCCACCCCAAATAAAAAGGAGTTGCAATCTGATGAAGAGGTTTCATTGCCAAGAGAGCAAAAAACTAACAATAAACAAAGCAAATACAAGGCTAATAGGACATTATACAAATACAAATACCTTACAACCTTGACTGCAGAAACCTTTTTATTAACAAGTTAAATTTCTCATTAGAAGAAAAGGGAAATTACTGTAGAAGGTTTATATATTTCACCTATGGAAAATGGTAACATCTCATAAATAATTTAGCTCAAGTATTGGATCCAAATGATGTTCTATTCTTGTCTTCAACCTCAAGATGAACCCATTAGCCACTCCATCCATGCAAAATTGTTTTTTTGAAGAAGGTTAAATTTGAATTTTATTACTATACTGAACTTTACAATGACTCAAAAAGTCCTCTATACAGTGAGTGGCCTGTACAGACTATAATCTTTATACAGTGATCAGCTGTCCCAATCCCAGCAGATGTATGGTGTGTACAAGTTTGAGAATACTAAGCTGTTTCATTTCTCTCCTGGAAGATGGCCTTAGATTTTCTTTCATATTCAGTTATACACAGTTTCTTTCTTTTTTTTCCTTTTTTTTCAATGCAGGGTTGAAAGTTCTTTTGTCTCTGGCTTCTGGGAAGTTTTTTGGCACTCACAATCTTCCTTTCCCTGGACATGTTCTCATATATGGACCTCCGGTAAGTTCATTTTATGGAGTTTGATGCTTCTTTTCTTTGAGTTGAATTTGGATTTTTTTACTTTTTTGTTTAATAATTTTTTTGGAAAAGATAGCTTTTAAAAGTAATGTTTTACGATTGTGTCTAAAGAAAAATTGTTCATGCTGTTATTGATAAAAAAAAAAGAATTGTTCATGCTGTTGGCTTTCAGTCTTGATGCAATTTGTACTATCTATAGGCTATAGCAGTTTATGTTCTTTGCTATCCATCTTTCATTAAATATTAAGTTAACAGTTTCAGTTTGAAGCTTAGTGGAGCTTTCTACGATATTGTACACGACAATCATTTGGCCTGCATTTTCTCTGCTATTCCTTCATGTTCCTTTGGAAGGTTTGTAGCATTCCGTTGCTGTCAATGAACTTTTGATCACACAACTGTGCTTCTATGGTTCACCATTGATAAACAAGAAAATCTGATCCATGTAGGAAATATTATGGTGAAGGTTTCTGTAAACCTTTTATGCACTTGAGTGTTACATGATCCTCAAACCACTTGGTTGAAGAAGGTAGAAGAAGAGGAAAAGGGAGAAGAAGAAACAAGTGGGCATATGTGAGTTTGAGAGAGCCAAAGATCATGGGCAGTTAACCCATTCATTGATATTTATAATGCATAGTACAACTCCAATTGCTCCCCAAGTATAAAGAAATGACTAATAGATAAAATGACAAATAATTGAACATTCACTATCAATTTGCGCATTGAAATCAAGTATGCTCATTTTGACTAGTGAACCATTAAAATTCAACTTATATACACCATTGTTAGAATATATGCAGAACACACTTCACTAGAAGCTACTTTTCCCTGTCAGAATGTCAGTCAATCTCCATATGCGTAGTCCAATTTGATTGGACTATGGTTGTCTTTAATGTTGATTGCTGCTTGGTTATCACAATATAGTTGCATAGTTCCTTTAAAGCCAACTCCTAGATTTGGAAGAAGAATACTATAAATATTCTAATAAAGGTTTAAAATGTTGGTTTCAGTGGAAATATCGGTCATCCAAATATAGGAAACATGTTGGAAATGTCTGGAATGTCATATGAAAATATTGTAAAAATTATAGACATGGTGGATTGTAAAATATGTGAAAATATTGATTTCTACTTTGTGTAATGGCTACCATCCTAATTGAGTTCATCTTTGTGACTTTTCTGATAACAATAAGAAAGAATTTATTAAGATAAAAGAAGAATAATACAACAAGGTGATAAAATACCCTGTAGAAGGAAAAAATCCCAAATACAAAAACCCACTTCTAAAGTTGAAGCGGAAAAAAAAAACACACTTCTAAGACCAAACAAAAATAAGAATTCAACATCTAACTATAGAAGACACCCAGAACAGAAAACCCAAAGCCCTAATACCAAACAAACTAGAATACAAAAACCATCTTCCCACTAATACAACAAATTACCCAAAAATACCAATCCACAGGACCATCAATCCCAAAGATTAAAAGAGACCTTCCCAAATGACTACTATGCAAGCAAAAAGCCATTTACTCAACTGCCTCCTGAATCTTGACCTGGAACCTCTTTGCTTTTCTTGGTAGTTTTCTTTCTTCTCACTTTTTTCTGGGTCCCATTCCAAATAGTCCCCCTTTTGATCTTGCAAAAACTTTTGATACCTGGGCAATTCGTTGACTCTTCTAACTGCATTAAGGATATTCTTAAGAACCCTTGGATCCTTATTTTTTCTAACAATTCTTTGTAACTCTAGTATGCTATTCTTTTGAAAAATCCGGTCTTCTAACCTCTGACTAGCCTCATTAGTACCAAGCCCTAAACCTTCAGGAGGTATCAAACCATCTTGATTATCATCATTCCTAGTAAAAAATCTGTCCTATTAGAATCTGGAGTATCTTCCTTCTTTACCATCATAGGTCTTGACAGTATGGCCGGCCAGAAATAAGAGGAAGAGAAGAGAAGAGAAGAGAAGAAGAAGAGAGAAGAGAGAAGAGAGAAGAGAAGAGAAGGGATTTGCAATGTAACAGTGCTGGCGGCGCCAGCCTTTATTATAATATATATAGGGTGGCAGAAATAACAAGGGAAAAGACCCTTGTGCCCCTGAGTACAATAACAGACATAACAGAAGTGAAAAAACGAAATAAAAAGACACTTTAACTAGCCAAACAGACCCTACCACCAACAACTAAATTATTTTAACACTCCCCCTCAAGTTGGAGCATAGATGTCAATCATGCCCAACTTGTCACACAAATCTTTGTGCCGCATATGATGAAGACCTTTGTTGAAGATATCTGCAAGTTGTTCTTTTGAACTGACATATGGTGTACACACTTCTCCTTTTTCAAGTTTCTCTCTATTAAAATGCTTGTCCACTTCAATGTGTTTCGTCCTATCATGCAGGACTGGATTAACAGCAATATTGATGGCAGCTTTATTGTCACAGTAGAGTGACATAGGATTGCTCACTGCGAAACCCAGTTCACCTAACTGATTTCTTATCCACATGATTTCAGCAACCCAGGAGCCATCGCTTTATACTCTGCTTCAGCACTAGATCTAGCCACCCCACTTTGTTTTTTACTTCTCCATGTGACTAGGTTTCCTCCTACAAAGGCACAATACCCACTGGTGGACTTTCGGTCATTGACTGCTCCTGCCCAATTTGCATCAGTATATACTTCCACCTTTAAGTGACCATGTTTCTGGAACAACAAACCAGCTCTGGGAAACTTCTCGAGGTATCTCAAAATCCTCTCTATAGCTTCAAAGTGAGTTGTCCTAGGGTTGTGAATGAATTGACTAAGGACACCCACTGCATAGGCAATATCAGGCCTGGTCATAGGCAAGTACAAAAGTCTCCCCACGAGTCTCTGGAACTTCTTCACATCTTTCAAAAACTCTCCCTGACTGTCTCCTAGATGATGATTAGATTCAATTGGTTTTACCCCCAACTTGCCTGTATCTTCTAGTAGATCTAGTACATATTTCCGTTGGAAAATAAAGATGCCCTTGTGAGAACGGGCAACTTCAATTCCAAGGAAGTAACGTAAGGGGCCTAGATCTTTCACCTCAAATTGAGTGGCTAAGAATTTTTTTAGTCTCCGTATTTCAACCTCCCAATCTCCTATGATCACTATGTCATCCACATACACAATAAGAGCTGCAATTTTACCTTCACCTCTTTTCACAAATAGAGTATGATCTRACTGGCATTGTTTGAACCCCATCTGTTGAACTACTAAATGGAACTTACTAAACCAAGCCCGAGGTGATTGTTTTAACCCATATAAATATTTTTTTAACCCACATACACAATAAGAGCTGCAATTTTACCTTCACCTCTTTTCACAAATAGAGTATGATCTAGCTGGCATTGTTTGAACCCCATCTGTTGAACTACTAAATGGAACTTACTAAACCAAGCCCGAGGTGATTGTTTTAACCCATATAAAGATTTTTTTAACCTACATCTTTTGTTCACTGCCTTTGGCACAGAACCTTGGGGGTTGGGTCATGTACACTTCCTCTTCCAAGTTACCATTCAAGAAAGCATTTTTGATGTCCAATTGGTGAAGTTCCCACTCAAGATTTGCTGCCATTGAAAGAAGAATGATGATAGAGTTCATCTTGGCTACTGGAGCAAAAGTCTCTGCATAGTCCACTCCATATACCTGTGTAAAGCCTCTTGCTACCAGTCGAGCCTTGTACCTTGCAACAGTTCCATCAGCCTTGTGTTTCACTGTGAACACCCTTCAGGAAGGTCTACCAACTCCCAAGTGCCATTTTTGTGTAAAGCATCGATTTCTTCCTGCATTGCATCTGTCCATTCAGGTTTAGACAAAGCTTCTGCCACATTCTTAGGAATGGGGACACTGCCCACAGAAGAGAGGAAGGCACGGCATGAAGGTGAAACATGATCATAGGACACAAAATTAGAGATAGGATGATTAGTGGTACAAGACCTAACACCCTTTCTCTTGGCAATAGGAATATTAAGATCATTGATGACAGGTGAATCAACATTTAGAGGAACAAACATATTAACAGGAGCAAGTGTACCTGGCTGATGAGA